TAAGGAACATATACATAACAGTAAACGTGGCTGAAAATTTATCGATATCGATATTTATCGAAGAGTTGGAAAAGTAACTTTACGTAAAATCTGGCAGCTCTAGCACATACACATCTATATGACATATGGCCTGTTTTTTTTTTTAATTTTACAGGGTATAAAAAGCAAGTCTTTTATCTTCAGCGCCATTTTTTGTCATTCATATGACAAACGTGTTTTTGAAATAATTTTCACACATTTTCGTCTAGTACTTTGAGCTTTTTGTTAGTTCATAACAACAACAACAACAACAACAACAAAAACATCGTCATGATCATGAGAATCTTAACTATTGTGAACGTATTGATTATTTATACAAGTGTTTGCGGTTTGCAAAACTAGCCAGAGTTCCCGCATAGTTTCCGCAAAGTGTTGCCAATGTGCTAAGAAATTCTCGGATTAAGTTTTCTTTTAGTTATGCAAAGGGCAGGCGCAACTGTGGGCAAAGGGGGGGCATAGGGAAGGGCAGAATGCCCAAACACTGGCATTCCAATCCTGCGGCTGCCGTTTTGGCCATGTGGCCGCCTGTGCAATATAAACGATCATTAAAAGCATAAGAAAAAAAAAAAACGGCAGCTACTGTACGGCAATTGGTTGATTTTTTCGATTTTTGCCAGCAAATGCAGCAGCGAGAGTGGGACAGAGAGAGGGAGAGAGAGAGAGAGCAGACGCGAGGCAGTGCGAAAGAGAGTGGAGAGCAAGAAAATGCGCAAGAAAGCTGCAGCTGAGGTTTACAGCCTGCAGCCTGCAAACAGGTAAGCAAGAAATTGCCAAACCAACAACAACAGCAACAACAACACTGGCCCAGACATCCGCTGAGACTGCGCACGCGCGACGCTGGCGTCGCTGCCGCGGCCAACGCGCTTTTTGGCCTTTGGGGGCCGCTGCGACTGCGACGCAAGTCCCGTGCCGCGTTGTTGTTGCTTCTGCTGCTGCTGCTGCTGATGACGATGCTAAAGATTGCAATCGCGCTGCGCAGCACAGAATTTGTATCGGCGAGTGAGTTACTTGTACATCTGCGCCCCCAAGCCGATTGGCGCTGGCCGCGTGACACGAAGGCACGATATCTATAGAATGCAGCACACGATAATTGGAATTTGTATGAAACAAACAATTGTCCAAAAAGTACTTATGCATAAGAGAGAAGAACCCTTTGGATAATAATTAAGTATTTTGGTATTTTTAAGAGTATCTCACACGCTCAGCTTCGATTAATTGGGATTTAATTAGAACACAATAGACGGCAATTCGAATGCCATTGTCCGAAAAGTACTTTGGCATAAGAGAGAAAATCCCCCTTGAATGACAATAAGGTAATTTGCTATTCTTAAGAGTGTGTCACACGCTCATCTCTAAGCGTAGCTTCGATTCTTTCATTTCACTGGAATTTATTTAGAACACATTTCAAAGGCAGCTTTTTTGTTGCATTGTTGTTATGGGCTTAGCAGCAGCAATAACAACAGACACGCTGCATTCCAATGCCAAAAAAGGCAAATCCCCCAACAGCAGCCAGCAGCCAGCAGCAACAACAAAAGGCAGTCGAAATTTCATTGCAGTTTAGTCAGCAGCAGTCACCCCAACCCCAGCCCCACCTGCCCCTCCACCCACAGTAAACTACAACCACAACGGCGCCAGTTTGCAGCTCCATTGAAGCAGCATGTTGTTGTTGTTGTTGTTGTTGTTGTTGTTGCTACTGGCATGCGACTAGAGAAAAGTTTGGCTCGAATAAATTGAATTGAGCGAGATGCCGATGCCGATGACTGGAATTGGAGTGAAAGTAGGGTAGGCAGATTAGACACCGACTGACTCTCTGCTAGTGGACATTGCACACACACACACACACACACACACACACACACACACACACACACACACACACACACACACACACATACATATACACACTTCACATTCCACAATCGCAGCGATTGGCCAATGTGTTGCCAATATCTTAAGAATTTTTTTTTAGCTTCCAGCTCTATTTGTAACGCTCTCTCAATGCATTCACTTCCAATACTCTTTTCAATTTAGATTAATTTGGCAGTTTAATTTGCTTAGCATCTCCCTTAGCAGAAGCCTTCCAGTGACTTTGAGCTCGCGGTCAGGGTTGAGAGCTTCCAAAGAATAAAACCAATAATCAACTGGAAATGTCGTTAATCCATGCAAAGAAGCATGCAAAGAGGGGAAGCTAATGCTCAGCCGCCAAATGCGAACTCTTATTTACATTCAAATAAGAGAACAGAGCAGAAAAGCTGTAAATAGGAAGTAAGTTAGTGTAACAGAAGTAATAAAAATACCTTAAGCACTTAAGAGCGTGACAGCAGAGGCGCAGACGGACAGACAGAGCGACGAGAGAGAGGAATGTCCATGATATTAACATTATCGCTTGAGTTGCAGTGCAGTGGGAGAGAGTGTCAGAGAGAAGGGAGGACGGGAGGACTGGTCAATAATTTTCGGTCATAATAAAAGCAAAATATGCGACATAGACGCCAATGAAGCGTAACGCATACGCAGCCAACACACACACACACACATATATTACTAAATAAAAAAAAAAAGAAAAAGAACCAGAAAACGCGTTTAAATTCCAGGCGAATATATCGCAAGCAGCCACAAATGACAGAAACTACATTTTTGTTGCTATTCTTTGGCTTTCGAAATTCCTAACAGCCAGCGCTAAGAGTTGTAATTTTAGCATTAAAGAGAAGATTGCCAAAGATTGGAATTTCCCATATGCTAAGCACAGGCTGCAGGCAGTATTATAAAAAAAAAAAAAAAAACAAAAAAAATGGCCAAAAGCTCGGCTCTGGCCCTGTCAAATTGCGCGCCAATTCTGCCAGAGATTCGGTCAAGATTCGGATTCAGCTTCCAAAACAAAAAAACCCAAAGCAAAAAATCCAGCGCGTTAGGCTAAAGTGCCCGCCTAGAAGATACCCTGTATGCAGCTGTGGGCTGCTTAAGATATACCCAATACGCTCGTTATATCGGGATATGCTGAATAACGGTTATTATCGATTTTTTGTAACGGTAAAAAATAGTGTTTATTTGAAATAGACTTCTTCTGTGTGTGTGTGTGTGTGTCTGTTACATGCCTATGCACAAAGCAATCGACCCTTCAGTTTTAGTAATTTTCAATGATTACAGGGTATCAAAAAGGCAACAACGACAACGCCAAATCGCCTTCAAGGAATTGCATAAAATATTTTTGTTTTGAAGACACGGCCTCGACAGGCACAGGCTCCAGCATCCAACACACACACACACACACACACACACACGCACACAAACTATGTTGACCAAGAACGTAGCAACAATAACAACAACAACAACCGGTCTTAGAACCAAAGAACCAGAAACAACAACAACAACGACAACAACAACAACGGCGCATAGCAAATACACTCGAAGAAATCGAAGAGATCGCGCCAGGTTCCCAGCGCTGCTTTCCCGCCGCGCGGCCAACAAGTTATGGCCATGGCGACCCCCGACCCCCGACCCGTCAAGAACATGGCTCCAGCTTCGTGTCCGACTTCGTACATACGTGTGTGTCTGTGTGTGTGTGTGTGTGTGCGGCATATTTGAGAAAACTTTAAAATCGGAAGGCAGAAAAAAAAAACGGCAACAAAATAATTTCGAGTGTGCGTGCGTGCGAGCGAGACAAGGGCTCTGGAATAGATGGACCTAGAGCGGCAGTGCGAGTGGCTGCGCAACAGGCAAAAAGAATCCAGCAAATCAAGCTCACATTATGCTGAGGAATGCGCCCAAGTGACGATATCGTAGCAGCAGAGAACGGCGACGGCGACGGCGCAGTCGCGCTCCTACAAATGGACAGCGGGCAGCGCAGCCCCCTTCCAGTAAAGTAACCAAGGCTTGCCCGTGTGCGTGTGAATGTGTAAGAGCGTGTGTGTGTGTGTGTGTGTGTTGGTATTTCTTTTGCGCGTTCTTCGCTGCTGAAATCGTCGTCGTCTCAGCTTTTGCCGCGGCCTTGCGTCGCGCTTTTCTCCTTTGCTTTGCGCACACTGCGCATGTAAAACGAGCATATCAGCTATACTGCACACTCTGTGCGAAGGTCAGCGGAAAAGGGGCAAATGCTAATAACAGTTAAATTAAAGTGCTAGTTTAGTTAAAGTATTCCAGTATTTCAGTATTCCGTAATAAAATGTTCACTGTCAAAAGCCAAATTGACTACTCCGATAAGGGCATCTCTTGATCGTTGTTTATTGTGTGCTTGGTCTTGTTCTTGTTCGTTGTTTTCGTGTCGGGCTCCAAATAGTTGTTGTTGTTGTTGTTGCTGCTGCTGCCAAGATAAAACATTGGAATTTCACTTACACACTGACATTTCAGTTAGCTACTGGGATTCTCCTTTGAAGTTTTTATTTATTTTGTTCAGTATTTACCTTTCTTGTGTTGTTATTGTTGTTGTTGTTGCCGCTGTCGTTGATTTCGTTGGTGTTTTGTTTTTGGGCTGCGGCTTCAAGTTCGCATCTTAGTTGAAGATTTGCAAATGCTTCAGCCGCATGTCGAGGGGTGCAAGAGAAAAAGGTGCTTCCAGCGTATGTACATACATATGTGTGTGTGTGTGTGCTGTCAGAGAATTGTGTGCTGTTCTATTGTATTCTTTATGCTGTGCTGCTTATAAGCCCAGGCAGAGAATACCAGCAGCAACAGCGACAGCGACAGCAACGCAAGCAGCGTTTGCCGTCGCAGCCAAATTCTTTGCCAGCAATTTCAACCTGGCGGCCGCTGAGCTGCCGTCGCCGCTGCTGGAACTACAACTACAAAACGATCGGCTCTCTCTTTTACACACACACACACACACAGACTGCTATCATGTACGCGGCGCATTCCAATCTTAAATCTCAGTGGGAGATACTCACACTAACGCACACGCACACGCGCACGCTCATGCTCATGCTCTGTAATACAGTTGCGCTCTCATACTGAAACTCTCTCGACTCGGACTTTAGTTTGATTTTTGTAGCTGGACGAAGCAGTTGAACTGGCAGCAGGTTGCGCGTCGTGTTAAAAAAGTAAAACACACACACACACACAACAGCACGTACGCTGAATCGGCTCTCTCAAGCACACACACACACACACGCTCAGTCGCAGTGCCAGCTCAGTCGCGATCGCAACAGCAACAGCAACGACTGCGCGGCCCCATTGGAGCTCTGGTGATTGTCGCTGCCGCAGTCACAGTCGGAGTCGCATTCGCAGTGTGCGCGTTTCGTTAAGCGTTTTTCGCTTCGCTTCGGTTTCGTTACGTTACGTTTCGATTTTGGGTTTTTGGGATTCGGATTCGGATTCGAATTCAGATTCAAAGTGTGGCGTTGAATTACAAGCGCAAGTGCAAAAGCTTACTTCCATTGTGTTTTTTTGTGTGTGCTGTGTTTTTTTGTATTTTGGGCAGCGACAAAAATTCTCTGCAGCGACTCCCAACAATTGCTGCTGGTCAAAACAAATAGCCACACAGAAAGTTGCGACCCAGCAACAACAGCAACTACAACTACAACTACAACTACAACAACCACAACGACAACCAAGCAAACGGCATTCTTTCGCGCAACAACAAAAAGCAGTTGCCAAAGAGAGAACAGCACCAATACAAACACAAGCATTATAAACGGCAGGTCGGTCTCTCTCTCTCTCGCTCAATCGCGCTTGCTCTCTGCCCGCTGTATAATTTACGTGTGTGCATACATTTGTGTATGCGTGTGTGTGTGTGTGTGTGTGTACGGAGCTGCAGCGACCGTTTGATTAAATCGTACTGGTCCCCATACTCCGCTGCTCCTCTCTTGTTTCCGTCGCATCGCGTCGAGCGCCCACACAAACGCCTGTGAGAGAGCGCGTGAGCCGCAAGCCGTCCATTGGAATGCGGCCCGCCGTTGCCGTCTCCGTTGACTGCGCAGTCGCAGCGCGCTGTTAGTGTTTGACGAAGAGGTCAGCAAAAGCTTTCGGGCAGCAACAACAACAACAGCAACAAACGACAATTCAAAAACAACAATACAATTTACTGTTATTTTGACGTCGCGCATTCAACGGCGTTAATCGATTCTCAGTGCAAAAAGAAAAACAAAGAAAGTTCGCTCTTAAATACAAAAAAAAGTAAATTTGTGCATAGAAATCAAAGCGCAGCGATTTAATTTTTGGATTACGCGCCCAAGGCGTCCCCCCGTTTCCCACACCACCACCCCTGGCAGCAACAAACACGAAAAAATGCCGTCAACTGTTGCGGCCAACATCGGCAGTGCATAAGGTAAGCCAAAGAGACAAAATCCCAAATGAAGGAAGTCTTTTTTTTTTTTTTGCTTGGGTGTATGCGATCGGGGCATTTCTTTGGAATTTTAATTGCCCTTAGACGGGGCAACAACAAAAATTATAGCAAAATGTCTTATCTGAATCATAAAACTCGCCAATGGCTCTCAAAAAAAAAAAGTCTTAAAAGTCCGTACGTCTCCGCGCACTCATTGTGCAATTAATCAGCGCACCAAATGCGAGGGGAGTGTCGGCAAACGGGGTAAATAGCAGGTGTCGTAAATAGCTACACACACACACACACACACACACACGCACACAGACACATGTGCGGTTATGTCTTTTTATGCGGGTACCGGGAATAGCGATTCCATCAACAACAACAGCATGGGAGAGGCAATTATAAAATGGCGACCGCTGAAATCGAGCAGCTGATTTGCCCACAACAATTAAATGGAAATGGGAGCTGGAGGCGCAAACAGGCGACTAATTGAGCGTGCGCCGCCATGGGCGTAGGTGAAGTGTGTGCGGCAGGGGCCAGGGCATTGGTGAGGGGACTGGGGTAGGGGTTGCTTGGTTGTCATAGCTGATACTCGAGGTGTTGTATTGCAGCGCAAGCTGCAAAATGATAAACAAATGAGCAGAAACACACGTTAAACGCTAAAAAAAAAAAAAACTGTTAACGGTAAACGTTAAACGATTTGCCACCGCAGAGATGCGATATCGATACACAGTTGTTTATCGGTTTATCTGTTTGTGTTTTGTTTTGTTGCTACGTGCTGTTGTCGTTGTTGTTTTCGCTGTTTATTGTGTGTCTGTGTGTGTGTGTTTATTTGTTTTTTCATATTTTGCGGTTGCGACAATTGACAGCCGCCCACTTGGTAGAGAGGGGCGAGCTGAAGCATGCTTGACCTTAGGCTACAACAGTTGACAACTTCGAAAATTCCGAAATTCCTGCATGCGTGCGCATTGATAAACAAAAAAAAAAAACAAAAATATAATATGCTTTAAAGCAATTAAAATGTACAGCAAATTAAATTTTGAATGACAAAGCCGAAAAGAAGAGGAAGCAGCAGTCGCTGATATGATCGCTCACCCTGAAGCCTGCTCAGCTATTTGGCTGGCAGCGACGCTGGCTGCGCGCTAAGCAGCATAATTTATGCACACACACACACACACACACACACACACATAAGCACGCACGCACGCACAAGTTGTTTCGCACGCCTTTAAATTTAGCATGCGTCGCACGTTGCTGCCGCTGTCGACGTTGACGTTGGCAGAGCACTTGCTCTCATTTTAGAGCGGCCTCGCCTAGCTGTGACTGCGCCTTTGCCTGTGCCTGGCTGCTCCTTGCATTTATTTACTCTTGCTCTCTTTTAAGTCTGCATATTTGGCATGCTAAACTGCGCGATCTCTCGCTCTCTTTGCAATGTCCATGGGATATTTTAGGGATATTTTGCAAGATTATTAAGAGTATGTATCAAAAGCTTACGAGTTAATCTTTGTTGCACTCTTTATATGCCATTGCAGGGAAATTTTAAATACACAATCATAGGTTAGGGTACATACCCTATCCTTGGCGCACAGGGTATCTCCTAGTTGGACACTTACGATGAGAATTTGCTTATTTGATATTCTTAAGGCATGCTCTGGGACTATTTGCGCATGCGCAAAGACGTCAAAATTTGCTTAGCCTAACTGGCACGGGCAACAACAACAACAACAACAACAACAACAACTTTGACTAATACTAATAAAACAACAACAACAACAACGCAGCAATTTGCCGCATTGTTTTGTTTGATTTTCTCCCCACATTCGATTTTGTATTTGCCAACAAAACGCCAAGTTATTTATTTGATGGGAGACAATAAAAACAGCAACAACAACAGCAACAACCGACTTCATAATCGGCATAATAATTATAGAAATGTGCCTCGCCCGCTGCTTAGTCAATCAGGTAGCCCAATTAGCATTAAATGCTATGAATTCGGTTTACGTATTGGCCAAGCCACGCCCCGTTTTTTGTTGCCATGACGCGCATCCGCTGGCCAAATACATATATATATATATATATAAATACAGATATATATTGATATATATAGTTTAACAACTGTTCCGTTTGAGCGTGTGAAAATGCCAACGCTCTAAACTATTTCCTCCATTGACGCCAACTGTCGAACGTCGCCAATTTGCCGTTTGTCGTAATTAAAAAAAAAAAAAATACAAAAAATAAAAGCCAGACACACGTTTTTTCTTTTTTTTTTTTTTTAGACGCGTCAATGCGAGCCGTCGCTGCCGCCAGCTCATGAGCTAAAAATTCCACGTCAAACGTCGTCATTCATTAGCTCAGCTCCAGCTTCAGCTTCAGCTTTAGTTCCAGCTTTGGCTCGGGTTTGCTCGAGAGCCAACACTTTCAATAGAATCAACGAATCCAGTTTTAACAGCCACTCGGCATCAAAATCGCAACACTCTTGGCAGAACTCTAGCTCTGTGCGTGTGTGTGTGTGTTAAAGATTAAGCTGCTCTTGTATTTGTGTATTAGGCCATAATACGCTTGCCCAAAGTTGATTCACTATGTTAACAAGCACGCGTTGGGCTCCTTTAGACGCACGACTGTAAGATACCCTGTATCCAGCATAAACAAGCTTCTAGCTAACCTATAATTGGGTATCTGTGTCTTGAGGATTTGCTGCTGCCTCAGGCTATCCAGAAGATTGCTCAGCATTCCATCAAGAATGCGTATACATTCCTTCCAGCTCAGTTGCCAGGGGCTACGGTTCAATGGAAGGCTTGAGCACAGCAGCTCAGTCCGCTTGGACTGTCGCAGGCTTGAGCTTGAGCAGGCTCTAAAAGCCTTCGACCAGCTATCGAAACCACAAAGCAAGCCGCATATCTCTAGAGAAGGCGTCGCCTTTAAAACGATGTTAACGCTTGTCCGGTCATACGCAATCCAAGTCTGAGGCAAGGTGGCCAGGATCATCCTGGCCAGGCCTGGCTGACCCCATCAGAGAGAGAGAGAGAGAGAGCGAGATGCCTCATTTGAAGACCTGCTTACCCTTTCTTGTAAATATTCGCCTTAAGTTTATATCAATAAGTTTCTTGCTTGGCAGAGATCAGAAGATATCGATATGTCCGACAAATAATAATAATAATAATATAATAATAATAATAAATTCCCAGCGAAAACCTAAAGGAAACCCCAATAAATGTTGGTTCGAGCCTAATTTGACTGACAACTGATTTCAATAATTGTTAGGGCATCTCTGCTTCGTTATGTTGTTAAACTTTTTTTTTTATGATATTTGAAATGTTTATTGAACAACTCGCGGACTCGCGCACTTAAAAGCACTTGGCGCATTCCGATGCCAATTTCAAAATGAAATACATGCGGGCACACAGATATGCACATATATATATATAGATATATATTGATATATAGCTAGATATATGTCCAGATATATGACCAGATATATGCCTGTTTGTATGTATGTGCATATATATTTGTATCTATTTTCCGATTCGTTGGGCATTGCCAATAAACGTTTTGCACATGCGGCTTAGGCATTTATCACAGTTTATCACCCCACCCCACCCCCCCTGCCCATTGTCGCGAACTCGATTGACAAAGACACAGATACACACACACACACACGCTCCGCATGAGCTCACTGCAATGGCATGCAGTTGACACGGGATTGGATTGGAGCAGCAGCAGCAGCTGTTGTGGCACGGACTTGGCAGCTAGCTTGTTGTGTTGTTGCGGGGCGGGGGGCGTGTTTAAATGTTGTCGCTGGCACAACGTGGCGTATGCGCAACGTTTCGTTTCGGCTTTGCGCTTTTTCCGCTTTTATTCGTTTGTGTTTTGATACCCTTGCAGAGGGCATATCAATATTGTCGCAAAATATGTAACGCATAGAGGCAGATATTTTTCCATAAACTATATATATTATGGATCAGATCTGCAGACTGTGCTGCCGTTAGAAAATTGTGTATTCTAATTGGGCTTTTGCCATTTAATTTTCATAATTTGATTTGTCGATCCGGCCGGATCGAACGTCTACAACATATGGCTGACATATTGGTCGAAAATTACGTTGTTGTATTGAAAACTTTGTTTGTTTTTCAAGAACAAAAGCTTCAATCTGGTTCAGGGTATTAAATCTTCGGTGTGCCCTCTTCTAACTCATTTTTTTTTTGCCCTTTTTTTGCCGCTTGGCCAGCTTAACTTGGCCGCTGGCGCCTCGCTCTGCCAAAGCCACCCCTAGCTCTGCCCGTTGTCTTACATATATATTTATGGCCTGCGCTTAATTGTTGTTTAGCGTGTCGCTCTACCTTTTTCACCCCCCCCCTACCCCCTCTCGCTCGCATTTTGTCTCTGGCTGGGCACGCCCCGTGCTGCCAACTCCCACAAGTCTTTGACTTTGCTTTTGCTGTTGACTTTTATAATTAGCGTTCGACTGTCTGTCAGTCTCTCTGCTTCTTCTTCTTGATTATCATCATGCTGTTGTTGCTGTTGTTGTTGTTGTTGTTGTTGTTGTTGTCGTCGCCCGCTCTCATTATACACTGGAATGTGGTTAATTTGCTATGATTGAAATTCTTAAATGCTTTTTATTTGTTTGCATTTTAAATTAAGAAAACACATTCTACCACTTCTCCATCTCACTCCCCCCCCCCCCCCCCTCTCGCTCTCTCTATTCTGCCTGTCGTGAGTCATTCGCAGAGATTTCAACCTGCTCGCCTACTGCCTTACTTAATGCTAACAATGATAATTGCCAGCAGGTATCATTAGATCATGCCCACTCACATATCTTTAATGAGCGGGGTGGTCGCCGAAGGGGGGGGGGGGGCGTTTCTGTACCCTCATTCATATTAGATATAAAATGTGCTTTACCTTTAACTAAGTTGGCCGAGTTGTTTTTTAGAGAGTTTCGAATCGAGTAACAGTTCAGTTAAGAGTCTGAGATTTGGGAAATAGCAAATATATATGCTATATATATTACGATTAGTTTACTTGCCCCAAACAGAGGCAAATACACTCAGAGAAAAACAAAGTTCTTAACCGAAATAGGAGCTAGACAACATTGAGACAGTTGTCCTTTTCTCTGAAACTTTTAATTTAAGTTTTGGAAGAGAAAAATATTTGAATGAAGCATACAAAACAAAGTGTATCTAAAAACTATTTTTTATTTTATTCGAACTGTTAAAAATGTTCTTGAAGTGATATAAAATTGGGTCTAAAACACACTTGAAATTGATTTGAGTAGAAAACTCTTGTCTGAACTTGTCTTGGTTGAAAATAATTAAACGAGCGAGGCTTTGTCGAGCTGTGCTCCCCCCTCTAAAGCTGTCGTCTGCATTCCTTTGCAATTCGTTTTGATGCCCAATAAATTCCAACATTTAAATGAATTCTGGAGCAGCGATTGCTTGGCTATTTCGTAAAAGATTCCAGCTACGTTTCTGTATCTATTTTTGTGCCATGAAAATCGGCTTAGTTATAATTGATTTTCAAAAGCTTTTTCTTCTATTTGTTGTTGTTATTATTATTATTTTTTTTTTGAATATATTTGGTCGTATAGAGCCGAACTCATATACATATATTCTTGGTTTCTAATTTATGTCAAATGCGCGCTTTGATTGATGATCAGCGCCGGCTCTTGGATTGAGCTGGACTTTGGGGGCAACTGGAAATGCCAGGTGGCGAGGGGGTAGCAAGAGGAGACCCGATCGTAATAATAAGTCAGGGCGGTTCCGCTTGAATTGTGGCTAAAAGCAGCAGCAGCCTGTGTCTGGCAGTTGCATATATATGTATATATATGTACTTCTTTAGATAAAGTCTCGCTCTCAACTCTCTCAACTTGACTCTGAATAAATTTATGGAACGTTGAAATTTATTAGACGGCTGCGGCGCGCCAATATTGAAATTTATGCGGCCGCGGTTCGTGTAGAAACCGCAGACGCTGCCAAAGACCAGACACAAACGTATTAAACTATATATATAAATATATACTACAGACATTTGGAGGCTAGTCCAGCATAAGTTGATTTGATTCGATTTGATTTTAATTTATGCATCAAATGCTTTTCTTTCATCACGAAGCGAACGTGTGTGTGTGTGTGTGCGTGTGCTTGGAACTTTCTTTAACTGAATTTTAATAATTTTATGCGCAACGCACGCACGCACCGCCGCCTAATCAAGTTTGTCTCCTAAGTCTTTCGTTATTGATTGGTGAAATTGTTGCCAGTCACAAAAAAAAAAAAAACAAAAAAACAAATAAAAAAATAATAAATACACAAAAATAGTCTCAAATCCACAAACCAAAACGCGGCGCCAGCTGCCCAAATTCCATGCGCTGCATTTTCGAGCTGTGTGAGAAAAGTCTGCACAGATTTTTGAATTGAAAGAAATGTTAAGAATGTTTTGCAGTTAATGAACTTGTAAAGTCCAAGATATATAGGGTTATATATATTATAAGAAGCATAAAAGTTCCTCAAATAAAGTCTATAGATCAAATATTTGGTAATTAGATAGAACAAAAAGATTTTTCAAAAAGCTCTTATGATCCAACCCTTTTCATCTGTCTGAACTTCTCGGAAACTACAAAAGCTTGAGATTTGATATTTAAAATGTATATACCACGATATGCTCCAAGACTATAGCTATATAGAGCAAACCGCGGAAAGTAGATTCTCATGGAGTATGCATATATAGTATACATAATTCACGCTTGATTAAAAAAGTTCGAACTCTTCGCTCTTTTTATTAAGCTCGGACTACAAGGACCGAACAATATGCACTGCGGCTGTATAGAATGCTTATGTGAAGCTAGAATCTTGTTTAGAAGTTAGCATCTTTCTAACGACATCTTTAAGCTGAGTTCAGGGTATTGGCTAGTCGAGCATTGCCGACTAGAGCACTTTTACTTGTTATATTATATGTAAGCCTCTGCCCTCTACACCTGTTAGTTTCTTAAGAATGGAAATGCAGGCGCTTTCTTGTCATTTTTACTACATATTTTCCACGTTTTGCCCTCTCCTCTCTTTCCCCATGCAGCAGCAACGTATTTCGAACGCGCGCGCTGGATACGGAAAATGATGCAGCATGCGAGCATTTTGCACCGTCAGCGCGCCCCTGGAAGTATGCGCGTCCTCAGCCGAGCAACTGTCACCCGGCTCCCGATTTCTGGCACTGAGGTAACGGGCTCTCAATATATATATATTTATATGTAGATATTTAACATTTGATGTATTTTGCAGACTTCTCGGCCAACAGCAGCCGAAAACCCTTTACTTCCTAGTCGATGCAAAGAGTCGCGTCCGAGAGGTTTATACGCAGACATGTCTGCACTTTGCCACGCAGGGCATGCAGGACACCGAGCTGTTTGGTCTGGCCGTGCTCATAGGTGAGTCTAGTGTGCGCGAAACGGGCTTGAGATGGGGTTGGGTCGCGGAGGGGTCACGAATTGGGTTTGTGGTACGCCCTAAACAGCCAACTAGTTGGCCACTTGGCAACAGAGCTGTGGCCTGGACAGCAACGGGGCAGCTGCTGCTGCTGGCTAGTCGTGGCATGCGATAAGGCATGAAAAATACAACTAATAAACATAAACCAGTCTTTTTAAAAGCTGCTCATCATCATCAGCCGCGCAACTGTGGCAGCCGCAGCAGCGGTGGCAGTGGCAGCCTCCTTGCCTGGCCACAAACTCTTTTTTTTTTAATATTATTTCTGTGTACCCTGTAAGCGTTGCGAGAAGGGGGTTGGTTGTACAGTTAGATAAAGCATGGATAGTCGGGAATTTTAAGAGCTGAACTATATTTTCTGTTATCGATAACGTATTTTCCCAAACAAGTTATCGATTTCCGACTTAGTTTTTGCTTGGAGATAACAACTATAGATCGGCTTATTATGTCTTTTCGATAACACTCTTGTTTCTTCAAAATCGATAAATCGATAATAAATCGATAGATATCGCTTTGCAGACGAGAGCTGAGCTGAGCTGCAAACTCTGCGCTGTGTCTAGGATATCTATCAGTCGTGCACTTTCCATAAGAGTAAAAATTTTGTTTGTCGTATTTTTGTTGTTGTTTGCTGCAGCAATGCCAAAACACATAAAAATACTAACAGCAAAAAATAACAACAACAAAATGGCACATAAAACGAATAAAAAACGCAGCAAAAACAACAACGAAAAGGAGCAGGAGTAGAAGAGGGGTAGTGAGTGGCAGGGGAAAGGTGGAGGACGGCAGCCAGGAACGCGTCGCCGTCGATGGCGAACAAACAATTTCAGGCAACGGCCAACAGAAGACACAAGACGCGTGTTCAGTAATTCAGGTAGCCGTCGCGCGTTGCATTAACACAAACGAATCGACGACGACGACGACGACGATGCGGCCCCAGCGGAGCCAACACACAGGCAACAACAACAACAACAACAACTACAGCAACAACAACAACAGGCAGCAGGAACAGCCAGCCGAGAGGCAACATCCAGGCCTGGTTGGTAGGCAAGTTGCCTTGGCTGCAGCACAAGAGACGTCTTTGGCATTGGCCTCAGATGCGTCCTCCATAAACACACAAACACAACACACACACACACACACACGCAGCACACACCAACACACTACACACACAATCTGTACGGCAACTGTGCAGGGAAAACCCAACTATGAATACGCTCACAGAACTCTAGAGTACTTAAAGTTAGACGAAACTATACGATGTTGCATTTGAATGTAATCGAATTCCACTAGCCGAACTGAATGTGTCATTCCGAAGCACATTTAAAGGAATGCGTCATTTATTTTACTACAAATAGAATGAAATGAATGTTTAATGCCAAATTTCACCAGCTAAATGTAATAAATGTGTCATTTACTATGCTTCTAGTTGAATGAATTAGTCAACAAGAAAACCCTCAGCTCTGTGACTATTTTGCATATAAATAATAAAGAACCTGAAGGATATGTTAAGTGAATCAACTCGAATGACTAGAATGTGACATACGAAATGACAAATAGGGATATTTTTGGATTAGATCGCCTGATTGATCCAGCGCATTGGAGTTGTCATTCAGACAAAATGACAAAATGAATTTCCCAAAATACAAAACTAAGCAACTGCTCGCAGTGGAATGTGGCAACATTCGCAAATGACGCAAATGAAAATCAGAAAAACACACAAAAAAACAGCTCAATTCGCAAGTCTTACCACATACCAGTTAGGGTATACACAAAAGGAACGAGAGATAGCGAGAGAAGAGCAGAAGACGTAAATTTTCGAATCTGTTCGCCAGCAGAAGTTGGCATCACTTTTGAGGGGCAGCCAGAGTCGAGGCTGAGGCGACTCGACGTGGACTGGCGACAGGGAAGACGAAGTTGCCACAAAACATCTTCAGCGAAAAAGAATTTGGTATGCAGTTGGGGGCATGCCAGCCACAACAACAACAATAACAACTAGAAGAAGAAGAAGCAGAACGTTCGCGTCGTCAGATTTTGCCAAGCTGCCACATTGCCTGATGCTGCGGCAGGAGAACAAGAATGGAGCGAGAGAAGCACGAGGAGAACGAGAAGAATTAGCAACAGCCAGTGTTGCCAACTGTCGCTAAACAAAAACAGCTGTATTCAATGCAAAAAAAGCTAAAAATGGCTAAATTAAAAATTGACTGTGCGAAGCGTTTGTTTCAAAGCCCTTAAGCCTTAAAGCTAATTCAGCTTTAAACTAGCTTGGAAAGGTATTAGCTAGGTTTTTAGCAAATTTCAGCTGAATGTGGCAAAACATCTGAATTTAGCTAGAAAATATCTGAAAGGTTAACAAAGCTTAAAGTTCCAGAAAATATGTATGCAAGAAAAAAAACTTATGCAGCTTAAAAACAGCCAGCATAGGGCATAGCTAGCTACCTTTAGCCAGAAAATAGCTAAATGGGCAGCATTGCTGCTAGTCGCAGCGACTAAAGAATTCTCAGTTTGGCCTCAGCTATGAAATTGGCCGTTTGCATTTTGCGTTGCCTCGCAAGGATTTTTGCCAATGTCAGTCGCCAGTTCGAGTTTGTGTGTGCGAGAGTGTGCCTGTGTGTGTGTGTGTGTGTGTGCATGACTGGCATGCGGCTGTAGCAGTTGTTGTTGTTGTTGTTGTTGTTGTTGTTGTGCTGCGTCCATTGCCGCCGTCGTCGTCGCATACTTTCGAGCATTTCACGCCGCGCTCTTTCACTGCACCAAAATTGCCTTTAGTGGCAGTTGTTGTTGTTGTTGTTGCCTGTTTGTTGTTGTTGTTGTTGCTTTATAGATAGCATTTGCCAGTTTAGCTTTTGGCCGAAAGCTGCGTTGCACAAAAAGTTCAAACACCGCTAAAAATGTGGCGCGCGCCCGTTTGCCTCTTTTTGTAGTGTTTTTTTTTTTGTCTAGTTCGTTGCTTAAGTCTTTCGTATTAGAGTGTAGCCAGCGGATGCTGCCGCTGTCGCTGTTGTTGTTGCTGCCGTCCCTTTTACAGGCGCTGTCCATTCAGCGCGTCCGCGTCTGTCGCTGGCCTTTTTGTCGCCAATGAATTTCAATTTTATGGCCACGCAGCCGTCAATAAATTTCATCTTTATGCAAATTTTTGCGCGCGACATGAAATTCGCAGTCAAACTGTGTGTGTGTGTGTGTGTGTGTGTGTGTTTGTTGTCTCCTGGTCCTCTGTTGCTCCTGGACGCTGCCTGGCAATTTGGCAACATTGTCACCGACTGTTGCAGCTGCTGCTGCAGCAGCAACTGTTGCTGCAGCAGCAACTGTTGCTGCTCCATCCATGGCCACACAATGGGCGTCAACATTCCTGGCTGCTGCTTCCACTCTTACTCCCGCTGCTGCTGCTGCTGCTGCTCGCATTCCTGATCCGCCTGGCCCTCAAGCTGTTGCCGGCATACTGTGGCATCTCCAACTGCTGCTCCATCTCCTCCGGCTATTGCTCCGACTGTTCCTCCTCTCTGCTGTTCCATCTTCTAATTCTGCTCCTCTTTGCTGCTTCCTGCTCCTTATGCTGCTTTAGCTTCTCTCCTGCTGCTGCTCCACCCTCAACTAAGTCTGCTCCTCCAGCAGATGCTGTTATTCTAGCTCCTCTGCTACTCCGACTCTATCTTTTGCTCCTGCTCCTAGTTCCACCTCCCACTGCTCCTGCTCCTACTGCTAAAGCGCCTTTTGCTGCTCATCTAGTCCCGTCTTCCTGGTCTGTCTCCAACTCTTGGGTCTTCCTTCTAATCTAACCCCACTTCCTGCTCTCCCGCTTCCTACTTCTCTGACCACATCCCCTGTTCTTCGCCTTCCTCCTGGTCTTGATATATCTTCTCTTGCTTCTCTTCCTACTGGGAATACTCTCCCTCCCTGCGTTTCTTTCTCCTGTTGTGCTTCTGTTCTTGCTCTGCTCAAGCTCCCCCTTCTGACTCACTTCCTCCTTGTTGTAACTGCTGCTGCTCCTCCTGCATTCACTATTGCGCCTTCTATATCATTGCCACCTGCTCCTCCTGCCTCCGCCCGCTTTCTCCTCCTCCTGCTCCCTTTCTGCCTGTCTGCAACTGCTGCTTCTATTCATGCTCTGCCTGCTACTGTGGTTATTTCTCCCTCCCTTCTCCTGCTCAAGCAACAGCTCCTGCTGCCACTCTCGCCCATTCCTGGTGCTTCTCCAGCCTCTCTGCTGTTGCGCCTTGGGCAGCTCCTACGCTGCTGCGACTCCTGCTGTGGCTGCGCCTTCTACGCCTCCTCCTTCTGCTGTAGCTGCTGCTGCGGCTGCTGCTGGTGTTATTTTTAGCTGTCGCATTGCTTGGATTCCAGTGCCGCATTCCTTGGCCTGTTGCTAGTTGTTGTTGCTGTTGTTCTTCTTCTTGTTGTTGCTGCTGCTGCTGCTGTTGTAATCTGTAGACCAGCATTTTCTTTTCCATTTAATGTTAATGGCTCATAATCATTATTATATGGCGTTGGCTTGTTCATCTTCGTCTTCGTCGTTTGCGGGTTCTATAGCCCCTGCCCGCTTGGCCACGCCCCTTCTGTGACGACCGGCCTTGCAGCCACATGCTGCCTCAGCCGTTGCCTCAACCCAAGCTGCGTGCATCTGATAACATCGGAAATTAAAATTCTTTTGGTTTTATGTTGTTTCGTTCTTTTTTCATTTTTTTTTTCTCCTCCTCTCAGCCTGTTTCCACACACACACACACACACACACACACACACGCTGTTGTTTTTGTTTTTTTTTTGGGTTATTTTGTTGCTGGTTTGGTTATTATGGCTTTGGCTTTGACTGTGGCTGTGGCTGTGTCTGTGGCGTGCCTACTCAAAACCTTTGGAATATAAATCTGAAGAATGCCTCGGCGACGGCTGCTGCAGCTGTCTCTCTGGTCTCTGGTCGCTGGACAACGGTCTCTGACCAGGCACTGCCCTGCGCGGGCTTCAATTCTGCTCTACCCTTGGCTAGAGGGTATTTTAGTTGTGTCAAGAAGTATGTAACGTATGTATGGTCACAACTCTATTTAGCTGTGCCTATGTGCATCCAGATCTCTGTCATATGCCGAACTAGGCAGAAGTGGATTATTATATTATACAGCATATTCCGCTGTATAATTGATAGGGTATAAAATGGTCGGTTAGATCTGAATATCGTATCTGCTGCTATATAACTGATAGGGTATATAATTTTCGTTGAACTGCAACTAACTGTTCTTGCTTGTTGTTGTTAAATTCCTCCCTCTCACCCTCTCAACCTCACCCCTCTGTCTTTCTCTCTATTTGTCTCTCTGGGCCACTTGATGAGTTTGCCTGCTGCCGGAATCTCAACGCATTCGAGTCTGTAATTTGTGTTGCATGTGTTTCAAATTGAAGATTTATTTAGCCCCCCTCCTCCCGCTCCTCCTTCCTCCCAACCTACCTATACCCTTAATGCCTGTGTGTGTGTGTGGTTGTGTGCGTGCGTGTTAATTGTAAGCGCTGTGGAATGCGTTGGAAAATATGTTAATTATTAGGCTTTTTGCCGCTGGGCCCAAAGTGCCCAATGCCAGGCTGCACGTTGCGTGCTGCTTGTGGCCAGTTTTGAAGCCTTCGCACCTGCTCACGCTTAGACGAAGAAGAAGAAGAAGAAAAAGAAGAGGTAGCAGCAGCAGCAGCAGCAGCAGCCGAGCCATCCATCAGCTCCTGATCTGCAACTGTTGAGGTGAAATTTGAATGCGTTGCATTTGCTTTGGGTTCAGTTTTTTTTTTTTTTTTTTGGGAGGGTTTTGTGTTTGGGTTCAGCCACGCACAAGAAAAGAAATCGCTGAAGACTTTGACTTTGAGTTCGTCTTGGTCTGCTTTTTTATATATATATAGATATATACATTTTTTTTTTTTAATTTTTTCAACTTGGGTTTCAGCTGCCACAGCACTACGTTCGCTCTTACCTGTCCGCTCAGTCTGTCTCGCTCGGCCCGTTTCTACCTGTTTTTTCTCCCTCTTCTTCTTCTTCTTTTTTTTTTTTTTTTTGATCGAGCTGCGTTTTGGGCTTGGTGGGTCTCTTTGGTATGCGACTCGCTGCGACTTCGTCTTTGACTTGGAGTTGGACTCCGTTGGGGCGACATCGTCGTCGTCGTCGTCGTCATTGATAGGCACTTATTCGGACGCTGATGATTATTATGATATTGTTGCTGCTGCTGCTGCTGTTGCTTGTGTGCCCACATATTTCCATTTCATCTTTTTCTGCTTCTTTTTTGTTGTATACCCTGCTCAATGCTCAAATGTTTGCAAGAGGTAGAAACTGTAGCGATAGATATCCATGCCCAACTTAGCCTTACTTTTTGGAACAGATCGAATCTTTGTTTCACTCAATTAATCGATATTTATCGTTGTCTAATCAAAAATTGACTTTGATCAATAGATAAATATATGTTATCAGCTTAGCTGATTTTGTTTAAATAATAAATACATCGATTAATATTGATGCCTAACCTAACTTTGATCAATCGATAAATCTCGATTACTAGCTTAGCTGAATGTTTTGCCTAAATTAATATCCATGATTAACAGATTCACACTGTGAATTGCAGCTAATGTTTGTTTCGTTTAATTAATCGATATATATATATAAGCATAACGTTGTGAAAGGAAGCAACCTTTATTTTTCCCCAAGTGAATCGATAAATATCGATGTTCAAATAAGCGTAACATTGTGAAAGGAAGCTACCGAAATTAATAGATAAATATCAGGAGCCAACATATGAAAAGCCACAGTATGAAACGAAAATAACTGAATAACCCTTTCCCCAAATCAATCGATAAATATCGATGCCCAAATTTTTCGGAATGAACTACCCATTCGTTTCCCTTAAAATATACGTAAAAGTTAGTCAAAGATGAATTTTTCAAAATGTGGAGTGTAATTTTATGCCTCTGTCAAGCAACAGGGTATCGCATAGTCAAGCACTTTGGATTACAGCACTTTTATTATTTTTATTTTTTTTTATGAGGCTGCTCATAATTATTATTTTTCATCTTCTGCTGCGGCTGCTGCTTCATTTCGTATGCAGGAATTCCAATTTTTCGTTCGATGATGAAGTGTGTGTTGATTTTGTTTTTCAAGCATGCAACCGACATTCAACAATATCAACAACAATAACAACAACAACAACAAGCACATTGATTCTCGAGCATGCGGCATGCCCTTGGGCAAAGTTTCCGAGTCGAGTCGAGTCGAGTCCCCGAACTCGAATTCGGACTGTGATGCACTGGCAACTTGGACGACAACAGACACAGGCTGACAACCTGACGTGGACGTGTCGTCATCGGCCCTGTTGACGTCAATGGGTCGCTTGTTTGCTGCCTGACAAAAACTGACAACAGATTGGGCCAGTTGGGGCTACGGGGCGTTAGGGGGGGAGGGGGGGTTAAGAGGAGCATGCAGCTGCACGGTTAGCTGGAAAGAATTCGTGCCGGCATAGCCGAAAGTTCATTTAAAATTTTGATTAGTTCAACTGAATGAATGCGACCTTGGAGTCGTCAGGACTTCCGTCAAAAGCAAGCAAATGCCAGAACCCGATTGGATTAAGGATAATGCTTGGTAGAGCAAAACTGGTTAAAAGGGAACTTTAGCCAGTTTTCTCAAGTCTATAATTTCTGTAATATTAAGGGTATGTTAGTTAGCTTTTAGAGAATTTGCAACGGGTCTAGGTTGACCGGAAACAAGGAAGCATAACTGAGTTTCTTTTCTTTTCGCTTCTCTCGTTCTTGCAGATGGCGAGTACATGTTTGCAGATCCCGAGAGCAAGCTCTCCAAATACGGCCCGAAAAGCTGGCGTTCCTCGCACACGCACGTAAGTTAATCACTCGTTGAGTCTCCATTGCTTCATCTTTTTTAATCCCATTTAATTAATGCAGGGCCTGGATGCCAATGGACGTCCTCTCCTGGAGCTACACTTTCGCGTGCAGTTCTATATCGAGAGCCCGTTCATGCTGAAAGATGAGACGTCCAGGCACAACTATTACCTGCAGCTGCGGCACAATGTGCTGCACCGCGAGCTGCCGCGCGACCATGCCGACCAGGCGCTGGTCCTGCTCGCTGGCCTCGCCCTGCAGGCGGACCTGGGCGATGCGCCCACAGCGGCAGCAGCAACTGCTACAAGCACAACCACAACTCAAGCAATTCCCAGCACAAACCATCAACCAAAGGAGGAGCAGGCGGCGACAGCAGGCACGGCCCGAAACGGCAGATCCCTGGCCATGACGACGACGTTGCCCAAGATTCGAAAGCGTCTAAGCAGCTACAACGAGCGCATGCTGCGCCTCTCCACCTACGTGACGTCCACCAGCCAGGCGGCGGCGGCGACTGGCGAGAAACGGGAGGCGGCAGCAAATGAAGCGGCCGCCATCGCTAGCTCCACGGATTACTTTCGACTGGATGATTATCTGCCGGCCACGCTGCATACGGCGCAGGCGAAAAGCGCGCTGCGCGCCTGCCATCGGGAGCATCAGGGCCTGTCCGCCGCCGAGGCGGAGCTTCTGTATATAGAGCAGGCGTGCAGCCTGCACGAGACGATCAATGCGCACACGTTCCGTATGCGGCTGGCGAAGAGCGAGGTGGGTGTCGGCAGCGCCTGGTTTGTCATCTATGCGCGGGGCATAAAGATCTTGGCCACGGAGCCGTCGACCTTTCTGTGGCCCAACATAACCAAGCTCTCGTTTGAGCGCAAGAAATTCGAGATACGTTCCGGTGAGAGTCGCATCACGCTGTACGCCGCGTCCGATGAGAAGAACAAGCTGCTGCTGACGCTTTGCAAGGATACGCATCAGTGGAGCATGAAGCTGGCCGCCCGCCTCAAGGAGGTCAGCAAGCGCGAGGAGGAGGAGGCGGAATCGCAGTGTCTGCACGCCAGCTACGCCTGCTCGCGCAGCCTGATGCTGCCGTACAAGAGCAAGAACGAGCAGCGCATCTCGGTCATCTCGAGCACCAGCTCGAACACCACCTCGGGCATTGTCAGCGATCGCGTCCACTCCGAGGATGAGCTGGAGATCATGATCAATACGCCGCCGGCGCCGCTTGCCGCACCCTCCACGGAGAGTCTGGCCCTAGCGCATCTGCTGGACCGACCCAGCGTCAGTCGGCAGACCTCGTCGGTGGGTCAGATGTCGCTCAAGGATCTGGAGGAACAGCTGGCCGCGCTGAGCGTCGTAAGTGCGCGATCTACTGAAGTGACCAGTGGTCCACGCACCACAGCTGCGAGCAACAGCCTCAACACCAACTCCGGCAATGCCAACGATTCCTCCACAACGACCACGGATTCACCCAATTCACAGCACAACATTGGCTCGCAGTGCTCCTCCACGTGCAGCACGGTGGTGGTCACAACGCCGGCCGCACCGTTGCCAGCTGCCCTGCACTCCACCTCGTCCAGCTTGGAGCTAGGCTTCAGTCACACGGCACAGAACTCCACGCTGAGCGAATCCAATCCGGATGATGATTTTCTGGCCACATCCGTGCGCGACGACACGGAGAGCGTCTCTGGTGTGTCCGGCGTGTACACGCTGGCGCACGGCATGGCCGCACCGCCCACGGAAACATCTGGCGTCTATACCATGCACAGCAGCGAGCTGACCGGCCAATCCTCAGAGCTGGCCGAGTCCGAGAAAAGCTCACACTACGGCATCTTTCAGCCGGCCAAGGGCGAGTCCGGTCATGCGCCCGGCGACTCGGTGGATGGCGGTGGTGGTGCTGGCGGTGCTGTTACCCTAACCGGCGGCTCCGCCAAGAAGTGCAACGAGTTTCGACTACGCTCCGATTCCAATATCAGCACGAGCAGCAGCTTTCGCGGCGACGGCAGCGATCCCACGGACAACAAGCACACTCTGCTCTCCGCCGAGGAGCTGACCAATCTGATTGTCGGCCGCGGCACCTACCCCAGCCGCCAGACCGTGTCCAGCACGCTGCACTCGGACTGTGATTATGTTACGCTGCCGGGCGGTGTCTCCTCCGGTGAGCAGCAGCAGCTGGAGCCGGAGCTGGCGCCGCCTGCTCCACCTCCCTACAATGCACGGCACGAGAAGACGGGCCTGTGCGGACCGCCCGTGGTGCCGCCGCCGCCAGTGCCGCCCATGCCCAAGGCCATCAGCCTGGCCAAGCCCAAGCCCAAGCCGGAGCCGCCGGCCGTGCCGGCGCCTGCACCACCGCCGCCAGCTGCGGTCGCGCCCATTGCTGTAACTGCGCCGGCTGCGGCTGCGCTGCGTCGACGCGATCCGCCGCCCTATCCCACATCCATGAAACCGCGACCCACTTCGCTCATCTCGATGGCCTCCTCGGCGGCGGCGACGGCGGCGGGGCCAGCGCCCAGTGCAGCCGGCTCGATGAGCTCGTTGAAATCGGAGGAGATAACGGCACGGTTCATCACGACACGTCCACAGATCAGCATACTGAAGGCGCACACCAGCCTGCTGCCCGACGGCGCCAAGCCCAGCTATGCGGCGCACTACTCCTCGGCGGCCAGCTCCAGCGGCTCCCTGTGCAGCCATCAGCTATCACAGCAATCGCTGCACAACTCCAACTATGCCGGCGGCTCGCAGGCGTCGCTCCAGCAGCAGCATCATCCCCACCAGCAGCAGCAGCAGCAGCAGCAGCAACAGCAGCATCATTCCCATCACCAGACGCACCATCGTCACTCGGGCTCGGCGGCCATTGGCATACCCATAGTTCCATACGGTCTGCACCACAAGAGCACCGCCTCGCTGCACCATCATCATCATCATCACCAGCAGGCGCCGCCGCCGCAGCAGGCTTGCGTTCTGTTGCCCGTGATCAAGCCGCGTCAGTTTCTGCCGCCGCCGCCGCCAAGTTTGCCGCGACAGCCGCCGCCACCGCCGCCGACAACGCATCCGCATCATTTGGCGGGTTTGTATAGCAGCCAGCTGGCGGCTCGGAATCAGCTGGAGCTGTACCAGCAGCAGATGTACAGCGACGTGGACTATGTCATCTATCCCATACAGGATCCGGCTGTCAGCCAGCAGGAGTATCTGGATGCCAAGCAGAGCTCGCTGCTGGCGGCCATGGCACAGGGTCAGCCGCCAACGCCGCATCATCCGCATTCCTATTTGGCCTATCCGGCCGGCTGGGACACATGCAAGGGTCACGCCATTTACAGGAGCACGCCGTATTTGCCGCTGGCGCTGTCCACGCACTCGCGCTATGCCTCCACACAGAATCTGTCCGATACGTATGTCCAGCTGCCCGGGCCGGGCTACTCGCCACTCTACTCACCCTCCATGGCCAGCATGTGCAGCTCGTATGAGCCGCCACCGCCGCCGCCATTGCATCCGGCAGCGCTGGCCGCGGCCGCAGCGGCAAACGCTTCCAGCCTCTTTGCACGATCGCGATCAGACGATAATATTCTGAACTCGCTCGACTCGATGCCGAGGCCCAAAGTGAAGCGTCTGCCGCCACCGCCGCCGCCACCGTACGTCAATCGGCTCAAGAAGCCGCCAATGCCGGCGCCCAGCGAACAGCCGCCGCCAAGTAAGTTTACGATGTAATTGATTTGATTGATTAACCGATGGACTGACTACTTGCCCTGATTGACCACACTTCACCGACTAATTGGCTGACTAGATGTCTTCTCTGATCAACTAACATTTGATTTGATTGATTTACTGACTGATTGACTAAACGGCTGATTAGTTATTGACACATTGACAAATTAATTCGATTGACCGGCTGACAAGTTTCCCTGATTGACCATGCTTTATCGACTTATTGATTTGATTGATTGACGGGCTGAATAGCTACTCACCCACTGATCGAAGGGCTAACTCATTGTCTTGATTGGGGAACTAAATTACTGATTTGATTGATTGACTAACTCGATTGATTTATTGATGATTGACTGCACTAACTGATTGATGATTGGCTTGATTGACTAGGTGAACGACTGTTGAACTGACTGTATTATATTGTCATTGATTGACTTATTGATTGAGCAGTTGATTAACTAACTAAATGTCTGCCTGATTGATTAACTGATCCACTGATTGACTGATTGAATACTTTCCTAACTGATTGACTGACTCAATGATTGACTGATTGATAATCTGATCCACTAATTGACTGAACATCTTCCTAATTGATTGATAGACTGATTGACCGACTTACAAATGAATTAACTGACAGAATTTTAAAGGGAATGGTTGATTAACTAACTCGACCAGCTAACAATAAAAGCTGATAGTCTGTATTTTACCAGCTTTTAACGTTTCACTTTTCTCTTGCTCTTATAGTTCCTTCGAAGCCAAATCCCAATCCCAGCTTGAGCATGCTGCCACCACGGAAGCCGCTTACCCTGAATCCGCACCAGTCCAACAGTCCGCTGATCAAGACCTCCAGCGGTGCCCAGTGGGCGGGGGAGCGCCCCCGTCCCGACTTGAGCCTGGGCCTGAATCGTGGCAACAGCAACAGCATACTGGCCCAGCTGCAGGCATCTATTGCCGCCAACAGCCAGTCGCAGGCGTCGAATGCCCAGGCCAATCCGCTGGACATTGCGCTGCTGCGCGAGAAGAGCAAACATCTGGACTTGCCGCTAATCTCGGCGCTCTGCAACGATCGCTCGCTGCTCAAGCAGACCAAGGTCGCAGTCAATCCCAAGAACGCCAAGCAAACGACGAGTGCTACAGCAGCCGCCGTCGCCGCCGGCGCTGGCTCTGCGCCTGCCGCAACCACATCCACAGCCGGCGGTGTGGTTCATCACGGCGCCAGCAAATCCCTCGCTCAGACGCAGGTCACGAATGGCAGCACGCCGACGGGCACACTGAGCAAGGGACGCAAAAGCGCAACGATCAGTCATCGTCATCCGCAGGACAAGCTGCCGCCGCTGCCCGTTCAGCTGGCGGAGGCCAACAACTATGTCATGGATCCAGCCGTGGTCATGAAGCACCACAAAAGCTACAACTCGCAGTCACAAACCCAAACGCAATCGCAGACCTAAGCGACAACAACATGAAAAAAAGGCAGAGCAGACACACTCAATTCTCTAGTTAACAATGCGAATGTGAATATGAATGTGCTTGGTGGAATTGGTGGCATTTTAGTGGTTGGTGTTTGGTGGTGTTGGTGGGTCAGCCGAGTCCAGAGTTGAGAATTTGCATAGTGCGCGAAGTTGTCGATCACAGTGTGTTGACGGCTGGAAGGTAGATTCCAAGACCAGGTTCGACAGGCGCGCTTCCAGAGAAAAGAAAAGAAAAGAGAAAAAAACAACAGCCAGTGCAACAGTTAAGGACAAAGTAACAAAAGGGAATACGAAACATAACTAACCTCAAATAGCACACACACTTAAACAGAACCCAGTCTAGTCAATTTAGGTATGGGATTGCTGAGATAAACTCAAATAAACAATGACAAAAACAAAAACAAAAAACTAGCAACAGAAAACAGGAATCAAAAGACAAAAGCAAACAAAAGAACGAAAAGGAAGCAACAATACTCAAGTATAAAATACGAACTACTTAATTTACAAACTACAAAACAAACAACTTACTTAGTCTAGTTTAGCTAGCTAGTGACCGGCTCTCGTTATCTGAGAGTCCGCTTAACACTTAGATAGGCCCAGTCGCGATTACTTAAAACTAAAACGCTGAGAGAACTAACTACTTCCGCCCAAAACAACTGTGATTGATATTTTTTTATATTTAAAACTAAACTTACTTTACAAAATACTTAAAATAGTCAACAATGAGGAGAAAAACGCACAAAAACTATGCAAATTTTTAGTATATAGACAAAACTCGCATTTAAACAGAGAGAGAGAGAAAGAAAGAGAGAGAGCGCCCCCATACACACACACACACACACACGTAACCTACTTATGCTTACCACACACACACACTCACACATACGCATGCTCACAAAACGCATCCAAGCGCAGGCGATCCAATGAGCGAGCGGCTTAAGATGAAAGAGCGCACGTAACGTGTTCTTGAGAGAACATAGCTGTGTTTTACGCTCTCGTGAGAGCATAGACAGCTGTCTTACGCTCTTGTGAGAGCATAGACAGCTGTCTTACGCTCTTGTGAGAGCATATGCAGCTGTTTTGCGCTCTCGAGAGCATTTGTTGCATCTCTCTTGCATCGATTGCTCTGCTCTTTGGCCTTGCCTGTTGCTGAACTAAAGAATTTGTTTATAATAATCGAGTGCGCGCCCTCGGAATGCCATTTATAAAATAATTGCCTAGGCCTTGCCCCACCGTTTGTTTTATTATTTTAATATTTTGATTTTGAATTTAGCGAGTGAGCGTTGACGCTTCTGTTTTAATTATTATTTCTTGATTATGATTTCGTTTTTTAAGTTGATAATGATTTTGATGCATATTCATATTCATATTATGTTTATATATTAACCACTGTCTGTATGTGTATGTGTGTGTGTGTGTGTGTGTGTTGCTTGTACACGTGTGTGCGTGTAACTGTGTGTGTGTCTTTTAGCTGCTGTCGCATATATTTGCGTAGGTTTTTCTCGGCTAAAAGCCTATGGCTAAATGAACCAGTGGCAGCAGCTAGAAAATTACACACACAAGCGCACACACTCATGCCACAACAAATACACACACACACACACACGGACACACACCATTGCAGCTATATGTTATCAAAATCGGCCATATAGTATAGAGCTATAGCAAAACGCTTAGATTCCAATTAAGTTTTTCTTATGGAATCTAACGATATGTATCCTGGCAACTGCTTGCATAAACATATATATACATATATATGTGCAGCAGTCGGTGCCAAAATAGAAATAACTATCTATACGTGTATGTGTACTATATATATATATATATATATACATATATATATATGAGTAATAAAAATCATGATTAATTAAACCTTGCTTCTCAGAGAGAGCGTGTTACAAATACTATTACTATTGTTTATAGTTAATGTACAAATTGTTGCTTCAGAACAGACAATGGAATGTTGAGGCAAGTTCATAACATTTGGGAGGGTGGGAGTCAGTTTTGGTCATACATCAAAGAGTCCATGTATATATTGTACTTAACAATAGGGTGTGTGTGTGTGTTTATCACAAATGCCAGTATATAGCACATATATATATATACACACGATCGGCATATATATCGGTTGCTATCAACTTATAAAATGGCAACTGATGCAACAGAAAAACAACAACAATGCGACTTAATAATGAACTAGCAAACGTTAACTTGTGTCCTGGCACATTTGGCATTTTAGTAAGTGTATTAAGCAGCTGCCACTAATTGGTTAGCATATCCTCATCTTCAACGGGTGGCCGCACCCAGCGCTTGGTCAGGGTAAGTACTATGCCTGTGGTCAAAAAGATGCCGCCGAAAACAATGCAGCCGATGCCCGTGTAGAAGCCATAGTCCGATAAGTTAATGGCCAGCTAAAAGCAAAGAACAAAGCCAATTTAGGAATTATTTTCCAAGTTGAGTACGGCACGCACTCACCTTGGCCCTAGAGGCCAGCTCGGGGGTTAGCTCGGCGAACTGATCAAACCAAAACATGGGCATCAAAACCTTTTGCACGCCACGGTAAATCCTAGAAAATGACAGAAGAGGCAATTTAAAAATGCAACAAACTGTGGTAATGTGTGACGTACTTGTAATCATCATCCGGCTGCAGCATCATGTTGATCTGTATGCGTCCATGCACCTGAACGGGCGCGCCAGTCCTTGGCTCCACGGCCATGACAAACTCGTGCTGCGACTTGTCCGGCTTCAGGCCGCTGACCGCATTCAAATAGGACTCGTCGGCTAAGTAGAAGTGCGGGAAGGATGAGTAGATGGGCGCCTTGTCGCGGCATGCCTTGCATTCGACAACGCCCGTTTTGGGGCACTCCTCCAGGCGCGGATCACAGAAACAGGCCTGATTTGGATAGTTCTCGCCGGAGTCGAGTGTCTCCTCGGTGCCCACCCAACGTGTGGCCGTTAGACCATGCATAACCATGGTGCCCTGCGGCCGTAGATTCATAAAACGACACGCATCCGTCGCAAATATGGTTATCTCCTCCTGTGTATTCAAATTGGGCGGAAACAGATCACCCGTGGTGCCATTAACAATGCCGCACGGCAGCTTATAGAAGCCCGTCTCGTTTTTCCTATTCCAGTGCGTCAATCGGCCCAAATTGGACAAGTCATCGGTACCCGTGTGTATGGTAAAGAGACCGTCGTATTCTAGCGAACCATTGCGATCCGCCAGCCAGCCGAAACGTGTATAGGGTATATCGATTTTGCTGGTATTGAACAGATTGAGAAAATCGGTGAGATCATCCTGATAGCCATCGAATATCCATTCGTGCACCGGTTTTGTGGTGTACAAAGAGCCACCCTCGGTATTCAGCATAAAATCAACAATCTTCTTGATAATCTTTCGCTCGTGACGCATCTCATCGGCCACGGTGGCGGTGATGACATGCGCCGTGGTTATCATGTCCATCAGCGTGCCATTGGAACGCTCCTCATCAAAGAACCAGGTGCGACGCTCGTAATACGCCACCGTCGCATTGTCGTAGAAGGTGAAGTTCTCCTTTTTGTGCTTCTCGAGAAAAACATATGGACCCATTTCGGTAAAGTGTGGCTTAATGTTCGGATTGCGTATATCCTCCGGATTGGTCCAGTTGAACATGTGAAACTTCAGATAGATAGGTATGGGTGCCTCCAGCCAGCTGTCGTAGGTATCGGTGCCGGGTTCCAGTTTCAAGCCCTGCCAGCAAAGTAAAGAGAACTTGTAAGATAAAGGAAAGAATGGATATTTGATGTACTCACATTCTCCACAAGCTTGTCGGCCAGACCGGGCCAGAACACCACGAGCAGTATGCCCAGAATGACAAAGACGCTGCCAATGCCAAAGACCCAGCTCTTGCGCTGCGTTTCGCCGCAGCACTTGCAGCACATGATGAAATCGAGCTAAAAAAAAACTGTCGTTGCCTGAAAAATGATTTAAGAGCATTTGGGATAGAGAACTAGTTGGGTTAAACCGTTGCATAAGCAGCTGGTCAATAAACCTAATCGTTGCGTTGTTAATCGCGGTATTTTAATAGACTTTGCATTTTATAATCCCAATGCCCCACGCCCCCCTGCCGAGCGTTAAGGCGTTCCACGGCTGGCCGAGCTTATCGCTTGGACTCAGGTTCACAACAATTTAAATAGCTTTTATCATATCTTCAAATTGACATATCCGTCATGTAGATTATTGAGTACAAGAGTTCTTTTAAGTTCTTGAATAGAAGTGAAAAAAAAATAAAACCATAAATAGTACACGTGTCGGGCATGCACGACTGACAGACACCCTGTAGCCAGCGACAAGGCGTCTTTAGCTTCGATTGACTTCGGCTTTTATAGTCCGATTTACCTAAAAAAAATTCACGTTTTTATATGAACATGACTCAAAATCGATTTTGATCGATATGTTGGAACTGGAAGAAGATATATATATCTTTCTTGATATATATGGAGCTGAATATATGCTTAAATTCTATAACGTGTTCACACAGACGACTAGAGAAATCTCGAGTGCCAGCAAAACGCTTTCTCCCCGGCAGTTGTGGGGCTTCCGTGCTGCGTGTTTTACTTAGATGGTTTTAGGCGCTTACGTAGAGTACGGGGACCGGGAAAAAACTGGACAGTGCGTAATCCACAAGCGCACGCTCTCAAAGGCAACCAACGACTGTGGCTCGATTAGACCATGTTTGGGTATTTTTCTTTGTTTAATCAGCGACTAAGGCTAATCTTAAGTTAGCCAAGCACTTATGAATGCAAGTGATAGTGCTCGGGGTACGAATATTCAAATGATAACAATATAAAGAGAATACAAGTATTATAATGTTGTCACATTTCTAGCTCAGCTTGGACCTTAGCTGTTCAGATAAAACTTGGTGGGGAATCGCGGCACGATTCATATGTTGGACTAGGTCGGAGAATACGGTCTTATGTTTCAGATATCTTAACAAAACTTAGCATAGACGAGCTCGCCTCTCTAATGCCCCGCCCTCACCAAGATATATATATATACAATAATGGGCGGGGTCGACCCCCCCCGTTTAAGTTCGGGGTTAGTTCTAGGCAAGGGCCATTATTTATAGCCGTGATAAGATAGGCGTAGCCAAAACAATTCGCTGATTAGCGATTGTTTTGATATGGGAGCGTTAACTATATAAACATGCACTTGTATATACCGATAAGTTAACAGTTAAGGCATGCATGTACATAGCTCCTAAGCTAAATCAAAGTGCTGTAATTGCGAGTATTGTCTATTATATAGAAAAAATAAACAAAAAGTAAACAAAAAATAAACAAAAAAGTAAACAAAAAGTAGTTAGTTTACGATTTTTACACAAATTTGGCACATTCCTAGCTTATTCAAATGGTATGATAATGAAGAAGAAGAAGATGAAGAAGAAGATGATAATGGAACATGTACGAACAGGCAGGCTGTCCGTTATTGAAGCTTTAACTGTACATGCACAACTGTTACTTTGTACGCTTAGAAATAAAATACACAAAGTGACACAATCTGTAAATACAATAAATATACATATTTAAATAAATAGCTCAACAAACTCCTTTGTTCGCTTGGACTTTGCATAAAACTAAAGATAACCATTTCCGACAAGGGTGAACCGCCATATCGAACTCTAAGCCACATGAATCATTGAGAGTAATGCAAGCTCGCAGCTTGAGTTGCAAAATTATATATTTATATATATATATATAGCTCATTAACTAGTGTTACTCACCACTTTTGTTAATTTATACACAATAACACAGA